AGGGTGAGAATGAGGGGCTTCAGCTAAGCTCAGTCTAAGGAGAGTGTGGGCCTTCAGCTGAGCTGAGGGTGAGGAGGATGAGGAAGTTTAGCTGAGCTCAGTCTAAGGAGGATGAGGAACTTTAGCTGAGCTCAGTCTAAGGACGATGAGGGGCTTCAGATGAGCTCAGTCTAAGGAGGATGAGGGGCCCGGCAGCTCGAGCTCAGAGTGACTCCCTGTGGCAACCCCACCAGCAGGATCCAACTCAGCACCAGCTTTTACCCCCTTTTTAATTCATCTCTTTGGGGCTTGATTATTCCTGGCACCCAGGAATAGGCCCCTAGAGGGTGAAACCTGGAGTTCTGAGCCCTGAAGCAGCTCCAGGAGATGCTCTGCAAGTGCAGAAGTGACAGAAAGGGGCAGAGGAAGCATTCCCAGGGCAAGGATCACTGCTCCACACAGAGCCTTCCAATTCTCCCAAACCCAGCAAAGCCAACAGCTTTATTTTCCTAAGGAAYATCCCATTATCAGAGGCACTTTCAGGATTATTAAGGAGCTGTGCTAGAACCTTGCAGTGGCAGGTTCAGTGCTGCACAAGGAGAAAACTCAGAATGCTGCACTTTTTTTCTTCCAGATCTCCCTATTTTCAAGGAACATCCCATCAGCTTCAGACCCTCTGTCAAGGCCTCACTGTCTGTAGTTAAAAAAGGAAGAAAAGCAGATCCAGCAGAGCTGATCTCTGGCATTTGGGCAGATGGAGCAGCAGACTTTGGAATGTGAAAGCCTCCAGCCYCAGGCTATGAGAGCCTGCCCCAGACAGCACAGGTGCAGTGTCCTRCAGGCTCATCCAGCTCTTCCCAAAATCCCTGTCCATCACTGAGAGCTGGCAGCATTTCATCCCCACGGAGCACAATGTGTGCCAGAGGATTTCCTGAGCTGCCTCCCTCTCCTTACGTGGGAGACAACAAATCCTGGGTGGAAGGACAAGRAGGAGGAGGAGGAGGAAGAATGAATCAGCCCCAGCAGCCTGGACAAAGCTCCACAGAGCAGGTTCCTGCCTCTCCCTCCGACAGCCCTCAGCTCTGGAATTGCAGCCACACAGTGAAACTGGGTCAGGGAAAGCAGGGACGGGAAAGATGCAGCAGTTCCAGGTATTGCAGGGAAGCTGCCAGTGCCCAACACTCACATCGAGGAGGAAACAAAGGGAAAAGCAACAGGACATTCCTTCCCCTGCCTGGATGAGCACAGCTTCTGTCTGTCAGCCCAGCCTCCATGGAGAAATGTCAATAAAAAAGTGGATAAATTCCACTGGAATGGGGAAAAAGTCAGAAGTTGTGACCCTAGACCAGTGGGGTGGCACTGGTGCATGTCCCCACCAGCAGCCAGGACTGGGATCTCCCAGAAAGGGAGAAAAGCTTTGCCAATGGAATTCCACACATCCTTGTACCCACCCTGTCCCCTCAGAAAGGGGGGAAAGCCCCAAATCCGGGAGCAGGCTCACATCCCACTCCTGTCAGCCTCTGTCCCCACAGCACCACGGGGAAGAAGGAGAGAAAAATCCTTGAAAAACTAGATCTGGGATGGACCTGACCTTGCTCATGATGCAGCAGGAACCGTTCCCAGCATTAATTACTGGAATGCACAGGTAGAGCCAGGCTCCAGACAGCATCTGCTTCCAAGGACATGAGGAGCACACGGATTGCAGGGAAGAGCTGGAGATGGAGAGGCTGCCTGAGGTGATTCAACATCAGGTGCTGCCAGGTACTCGCCAGAATTGGAGCTGGACGAGGACATAAAATGCTTGGACAGACACTACAGAACCACATGGCCACGCCAAAACCTTCCCAAACCCTCCATGCCCACAGTTTGATTCTGTGTTTTCCTCGGCAGGTGCCAGCATTCTCCAGGCAGTACAAAAAATTTTAATTCTTTGTTTTAAAAAGAGCCTTTCCATTCAAACCTGGCTCAGCCGTGGATGTGTTATCACAGAAACCACTCCCTCCCTGTCTGTCCCAGTTTGAAAGCATCAAACAGACAAATTTGGAGGGTTTGGACCTGGTTTGTGACCCCTCGACCCCTTCAGGCCCATTCTGGAGGGCCCGGCGTGGTTTGACATGAACCAAATCTGTCAATGGCTCAAGACAGACACGTGGGCAGCACCGAGCAGGGAAAACGTAGCACSCTCCATTCAGCTCCAATCCCTGATAAATAATTCAGGAAGAGAAATGCCGCAATACAGAGCCCAGCAAGATTTAAAAATAGACCGTGCGCCGCTCCAGAGGAATGGCAGGAAGGAGAGGGGTGGCATCCACGGGGRCATGAGGGGTGGCAGCAGCCCCAACACACACCCTGACCCCAGCACACGTGTTTATGTTCCTTTTTAAGTGAGAATTTAACTTAATTCTTGTTAACACAGCAGCAGCATTCTGGGTTGGATCCTATGCTGGATCAGAGCCCTGCAGGGAGGCAGAGTCCCAAAAATAAAAGTCCTTTATTTCATTCAGGAGGAAGGTGGGTAATATCCTAAATTCATCTGGTAATATCCTAAATTCATCTGGTAATRTCCCAAATCCAGCTGGTAATATCCTAAATCCAGCCACTTCCATTCAACACTCATAACACCAGTTGCTGGACAACTGTCCCATCACTTATACCCCAAATAATACCTAAATATAAACAATACACAAAAATACACAAATATAYAATACATCTATCAAAACCATATCAATATTATCATGCAAACACCRCTCCCAGTTAGGCAACAAGCAGGAAATTGTTGTCTCAGGATTCCGTCACCCTTCCTGCAGCCTAAAAAAACCTCAAACCAACCCAACTTCGTGCTACCCTAAAATATCCAGCTCTCTGAACAGTGTAGGTGTCACCTGTATTTTGGTGGTGGGAATTAGAACACTGAAAGGATGTAGGAAGATCCTTACCAGCTCCTTCCACCTGTACAAAACACTTCCAATTCCCTATTAATTATTAATTAACCTCGGTCAAAGGTACAACCCCTTTATCCCAGTTTGTCACTGGGATGCTCTAAAGGAAAAAATGGGCTTTCCAGGTTTTGCAGGAATACTTTGCCAGATGGCTGCRTTCTCCCCTCCTCTCTCAGTTTCAAAAATAGCTCCAGAAAGACACGGATTTTTCCCTGCTTCCTCGTGAACAACGATCCCATCTTCCCAAGGACTTCTGAGATGGGGAACTGCCATTAACAAGTACATACAGGGTGAGTTTTTACAAGGAAAAATAAAAATGTATCATCTACAGGTAATTAAAAACCTAATAACTGTGGATTCAGAAGCTTTCCATAAATATTTTGGAGTTTTCTT